TTCTTAGATATTATCAAATATCTTAAGGCAGTGAGTTGTTGGGCCTGAGGGCTCAGGACCATAGTCTCAGGATACACCATGATCAATTAGCATAACAGAGTTCACAAAGACAATGTTCTACATCTTATTTTGGGGAGTTGCATCTGGGATCTTAAAAGCACACAAACAGCGTCTAAGATGCAGCTATTGGTCTCTCCATGTGCAGAAAAAAGAAGAGTAATGAGAATTGAAGAGGCTTGGAATCAATTGGCCCAATGGACAAATGGGAACATGTAAACATCAGTCTCCAAGACTCTGTGATCAGAAGAACTGGATGGTGCCCGGCTACCATCCAGTTGAAAGGGATCACATTAGAAGGTCCTGGATAGAGTGGGAGAAAATGTGGAACGAAACTCAAAATTATTATTTTTTTTAAAAAGACGGAATTTACTGGTCAGAAAGAAAGAGACTAGAGGAACCTCAGAAGGCAATCCTTTGATCATCTTTCAGGTCTGGGAAGGAACTCATGCTAGTGGCTGAATTTTCAGCTAAGCAGTATATAGGAGGGGACACCAACACTGTAATGTACGTTCACCATGGAATGGGCAATCATTCAAAATCAAAAGGGCAACATTTACCTAAGGACAAAGTTGAGAAGGGATGGGAAGGAGGGTGGAATAGAGATAGATAGGAACCACAGGGAGGAAGTCGGATAGCTGTTGTTGCATGGAAGGGATTGCAGTCACTGAGATGAAACATAATGCAATGATTTGTTTAATATAAAACTGATGATATTGTTTATAAACCTTCACTCAATTCACAATAAAAAGTTAAAAAAAAGAGACATAGGCATTCATGAAGGTAGATTGGTGACTACTTAGTGCTGGAAGAGGAGTTAGGGAAAAATGGTGACTGTTAATGGGTAGGAGGGTTCTTTTGGGGCTTTTGAAACTGATAGTGCTGAATTAATTGTACAACTCCTGTGAATATACTAAAAAGCACTGAATTGTACACTTTCAATGAGTGAACTGTAGGATATGTGAATTATATCTCAATACAGCTGTCTTTAGGCAAAAGATACAGGTATCTAAACATCAGTTTTCACTTCTCTCTAGGCCTACAGAAAACCCTTTGACTAGGCAATACAATTTTTTTAAATATAAAAGTTATCCTTCCATCCCCCTTTTGGCTCTTTTCTTAGCAATGGCTGTGTGTACTGCCTGGAGGGCACTATTTGCTTAGCAGCTTGTGAGACAGCAATGGAAGCCAGGGCTGGACAAGGATGAAGAAGAAATGCTAGTTGGCTGGGAGGCTGCTGTCCAAAGCCCCTGTCCCCACGCCAGGAATAACGCAGCTTTGTCAGAGTGGGAGCCGCTCCTTCAAGTTTCTTGAGGTTTTCCACAAAAGCAGACCCGACTTGTAAGAGGGTTTCAAAGCTCCCAGTGTAGGGAGTAAATATGCCACATGTTTAATTATAGGTGTTACATAAAATCTGACATCTTCTAAAGAGACAACAAGAGAAAGCAACTTAGAAATACGTGCTCAGCTTCTCAAAAATCTTTGAAAGAATCATGGGTTTTAAAAGTCAAGAGACTGAAAAAGAAAGAAGGAAAACTTCTGGCTATGGGGCCATTGGTAACCCGGTCACTCAGGAACTTTTCTAATGGTCTCTCCTTGCTGTCAGATCTGGTGTGTGTGGTGATTTTAGCCTGAGTTCCATTAAGCATGATGGTATAATTTGGTTGAACAACATGATGAACATAATGCCACTGAAGTGTACCTGTGAAAATTGTTGAAATGGCCCATGCTTTGTTATCTATATTATTGTTTGTTGTTGTTAAGTGCTGTGGAATTGGTTCCGACCCATAGAGACTCCATAGAGAGTTTTCAAGGAGTGGCTGCTGAACTTAAACCAGTGACCTTGTGGTTCAAACTGACTTTGCAGTCCAGTGCATTAATGCACAGCACCACATTACCACACACACTCACACACACACACACCAAAAAAAAAAAAAAGGAAGAAGGAAAACAAAATTAGCTTAAGTCAATCTAGAATAGTCCTGTTGGTGGTGTAGAATAAGCACTGGACTGTTAACTGAAAAGTTGACAGTTCAAACCTTTCAGCCACTCTGCAGGAGAAAGATGAAACTGTCTACTTCTGTAAAGATTTAGTCTCAGAAATTCTCTCTCTATAGGGTGGCTCTGAGACAGAATTGACTTGATGGTCATGAGTTTAGTTTGGGGTTTAGGATGATAAGGGAGTGTCTGATATATTTCAGAAACCTAAATTATTTTTATGGTATTCTTGATTAGGAATTTTCTATCACTGTTTGTTCCATGAGTTGTTTATGAAATGGCATAGTAACAAAAATCTCGATTTCATAGGATTGCTGAGAAGATTAAATGAAATGCATGCAGTGTGCTTGGTCTATGAAAACGGTGGAATAGATACATTGTGTTATTGTTGTTGTTAAGTGCTGTTGAGTCTGTTCTGACTCATAGCAACTCTGTATAGGGTTTCTGAGGAGCGGCTGGTGAGTATGAACTGTTGACCTTTCAGTTCAAATCGACCTTGTGGTCAAGTGCTTATCCTACGGCGTCACACATTGTTGTTATGTGTCGTGGAGTCGGTTTCGTGTCTGTACAGGGTTTCTGAGGCTGTAAATCGTTATGGGAGCAGAAAGCCTCATCTTTCCCCCATGGAACAGCTCGTTGTTTTGAACTGGTGACCTTAGGGTTCACAGTCCGAGTCATAACCATTACGCTACCAGAGCTCCTTTACTGGTGATTAATTACAGCAGAAGCTGGCTGTTGCTGGTACCCTCTAATCTTGTCACTACACCGGTGTCATTCTTTAATCGTCAGGATCCTGATGCTGTGACACTTCAGGGGTGTTGGTTTAGGGCAGGGATGCTTCCTAGGGTGAGAATCCCAACTCTGCCACTTTCCAGCTGTGTAACTGGAGCCAGCTTCCTCAGCACTCTACTCCTTGGTTTCCTCATCAACACTATGTGTTGACAAATCATATATGTACTTTAAAGGACTGTGATGAGGATTCAGTAGAATAATATCTGTAAAATGCTTAGGATAGTGCCTGCACATTGTAAGCACTAATTCATGTTTGCTAAGTAAACAGATGGATATATAGGTAGCTGGCTGAACTGTGGAAGGCAGGAAGGGCCAGGTGTGTGATAGTTATGCTGGGAAGCTGGAGGTGAAAGAACAAGTCCTGGGCATTTCCCTTCTAGAAGAAAAAGAACATTGCAGGAACCAGGTGGGAAATATTTAGGAGAAAAAACAAAATTGTTGGGGTAATAACAGTGTCATTTGTTGTGGAATTTCCCACCCTATTCCCAGAAGACTTTTAGTCCAGGGTGGTTTAGAAATAAACCAGCTAGAAATTTGAGACTGGATTATCAAATGAGCCCTTAAGGTCCTGTTTGGTATAATACCGAGATTACGTACATAAACTTCACTTTGCTAAAAGCTGAAACATGATTTAGGAAATAAAGACAAGTGATAAAATAAAGATAATCCGAAAAGGTAGAAAAATTTTAGCTAGGTGGGTTTTCCTAAAGGGCTTTTTTAGTTGTTTTTAGTTTGATGACTTTCAGGACTATACCATTTGTCACTTAACAACAGAACAAAGTAAAATGAAAACACACCCGTGTTCACAGAAATCTGCTATCCTTTGAATTGAGCTTTTGGAGAAATGGAGATTTAGCAATGGAACATTTTATGTAATATTCTACCTACAAAAGTACAATAGCAGTCTTATTTTTGAATTTCTATTAAGCCCCTTCTACTTGGTGTGCTTAGCTCTTAGGCCTGCATTATTGGGCTCAAGTTTACCCCTTGCATCTGGGAGGACACCAGCCACACACCCTAGTCCAAATTTTAGGTGTGTTTTACTCACCCAGTCAAACTGTGGGAGGTGGGTGCTGTATACAGTGATTCACACAGAGCTGTTTCTCTGAAAACTCAATGCCCCCCTTGTCTAATCTACAGCAACATGCGGTCTATCTACTGACCTGGCTCCCAGCTCCTGTGGCCCAGGGGCTGTGGTCTGGAGCTGCTTGTGGTAGAGGCTGCAGATGGGGATGGCTTTGACAAGGTGGTGTGGGTGACCTCGGCTGCAGTGGTAGTTGGTACCTGCGTCAGAATGACTGGCTGTGTTGTTGTATCTGGAATTGATGGTTTCTGATAGTCTTTTGTTGTCTCACCTGTAAGAAAACAGGATTACACTGGGATCTAGAAAATAGTTGGTAGGCTTTTACAGAGCTAGATATAAAATAAATGAAAAAGTGCTTATTGAACTATTGAGTCGGTGCTGACCCATAGCAACCCTGCATAGGGTTTCTGAGGAGCAGCTGGTGAGCTTGAACCGCAAACCTTGCAATTCAAATGGTTTTACAGTCTGGCGCATTAATTCATGTAAAGACCTGTGGTAGGCACTGTGGGGGGTGAAATCTGCTTGAATGACCATGTTTCCTGCCCCCAAAGCAATATACAATCTGAATGGAGTGATACACCAATAAACAGACTAAAGATGAAAGAACAATAAAATATTCAAATGACAGCTCAAAACTATAACATAGACAAGGGAGAATGTGATCAAATGTGAAGTTCATTTGACAGAAATCAAAAGCAATGGTTCATGAACATACTGTTGTAACTGTTTCAATTAAGCATTGGCCTAGGGATGGAACTCTGGGTGGTGCAAGTGGCTAATGCACTCCGATGTTAACTGAAAGGATAGTGGTTTGAGTTCATCCAGAAGTGCCTTGGAAGAAGGGCCTGGTGACCTACTTCTGGAAAAGTAGCCACTGAAAACCCTATGAAGCCCAGTTCTAATCTGATACACATGGGGTTGGTGTGTGTGTGTATGATGTTGTCTCCACCTCTGTGCTTGGTAAAACTTTTCTTTACTTCCCTCTTATGAGGACACTTGTGATTGTTATTTACAGTCCAGCTGGATAATCCAGAACTGTCTCCCCATCTCAAGATCCATAATTAACCCTATCTGCAAAGAGCCTTGTTTTTTTTTTTTTTTTTTTTTGTCATAAAATGTAACCATTACAGGTTTCAGGGGTTAAGACATGGATATCTTTACGGGGCCCCACTTTTCAGCCTACCATAGCATTCCAGCTCCAGCCTTAACTCTGATGAAAATTGATGTGCTTTTGGTACAAAGGGAAATAGTACCGGAGATAAGAAGTTGCTGTCCAATTTGTGGAACTATCTTCCTTGGCTTTGGGAGACAGTGATAGAACCATTGCCCTGGAAAGGTCACACAGATAAAACTGCCAGTGCTGGCACCTGGTCATTTCTCCACCCTGACACAGGGGCCCTCCGTTTGTACCACAGCAGTGATGGGGGAGAGCCCCTGGACTGGGCTGAAGTTTAGCCATCAGTCCGCTCTTGCAGGCATTAGCTGAGGCAGAAAGCAGCTCCCTCACTTACCCTGTTTCTTGCTAACAAGTGGGTTGCCTTTACATCTGCCTGTGGACTATGCCAGACAAATTACTAAAGAGTTGGCAGCAGCCTCCAGAGTTCAGCTAGTCATCACACCATCCTCAGGCAAAACCAAACCTGCATGATTTATGACATTTCCATGACTTTAAAGGGATTGAGCTTTCCTAACAAGTCCTAGGGAAGTTTCTAATTTCTCCACAGTATTCTTCTGTCTTACCTTGTGGTAAGTGTTACCAGGCATTAATGCTTCTTTAGGGAGACACAGGCCGGAGTTCTACTATATCATACAGGGAAAAGCCATTTTGTAGAATCACTTGTGGGTTTTATTAAATAGGATGTAATTATTTATTTGAAGATTGATATAGAAATAAGCCAATTATACATGATACTTGCAAATTATTAACTAAGCCGTAGTATACTAAATTTTTTTTTCTACTTGGTTATGAATCGGGCTGCTAACCTCAAGGTTGGCAGTTCGAAACTACCAGCAGTTCTGCGGGAGAAAGATGAGGCTTTCTGCTCCTGTAAAGATTTGCAGCCTTGGAAACCCTGTGCAGGGTCACTGAGAGTCGGAACTGACTCCACGGTACTTAACAACAACAACAACTTGCAAATAGTAGATATTTTTGCCACAGTTAACATCTTAGATGTTGAAAATTTGAATTATGTTTTCCTCATATAATTTACTAACTCTGAGGCTTGTGGGTACAGCTCTCTGCCTTTGCTAATATTGGCTGCTAGAGAACAGGCTAAATATCTTGAGGGCAGTCTTTGTGTTATTTGGTTAAAACACACAAACTTTCAAGCATGTCATAAATTCAACTAACAGAAGCCATATCTCTGGTCTTCTATAGCTTTCTATGTCGTTGTTGTTGTTGTTATGTGCTGTGGAGTCGGTTCTGACTCATAGCGACCCTGTACAGGGTTTCTGAGGCTGTAAATCTTTACAGGAGTAGAAAGCCTCATCTTTCTTCCGCGGAATGGCTGGTGGTTTTGATCTGCCGACCTTGAGGTTAGCAGCCCGATTCGTAACCATTACGTTACCAGAGCTCCTTAGGTTATTGTTTTTTCTTTCACTTGTGGTGCAGAAATGCCTTTAAAAGGAAAGATAGAAAATCACTCTTCCCCGTTGCTCCCAGTTCTTACTGGACATAATGCGCTTGTTGTGATTCTTCTTGAGAAGTTCCATGCAAAGACAGTAAAATTGTTTCTTCATACAAACCCGGAGACATGGAAATTTGGTCTCTCTTGAAAGATTTTCATAGGGAAAAATGATGTAACATCCCTCAGGCCTTTGGCATCTGACTTGCTTAGACATGGCCAACAGCCGTTACCTTCTCCACCACAAGGCATACCTGACTCATCATCAGAAGCAGAGTCGGGCTGTTAAAATGCAAGCTCCAGAGCCCCATTCACAGAGATGGATCCGGAGTAGAAATTTGATTTGAGAACCACAACCAGTATCAGGTTTGACTCCTGGCACCTCATTTCACCAGCCTGGTCACTAAAGCTTTCTGAAGAGTGTGGCTCCCTTTATTGTAAAATGAAGACAATAACATTTATTTTGCAGTTTGTTGTCAAAATTAAAGATCATGTCTAACATCCACTACAGTGCTTGGCATATGGTAAACCAGTGGCCATCAGTTTTACATCCTCTCACGGTGACTATATCAATGACGTCACTATGATTGATGCCATCCTTTTATTCCAGACCACACAGAATCCTTACCCACTGCCATTGAGTCAGTTCTGACTCAGCGACCCTATTTAGGGTTTCTGAGACTAAGTTTTCATAGGGAATTGGGGGATGATGGTAATAGTATTTTATGATTCAATTGTCAGCGATTGTTAGTAGGATTCATTGTGATTGTCACAACTGTAATTGCAGAAGATGTGTACCTAACAGGGGGCAGTAGTTAATCTTTCATTTTGGGAACAGATGATCCCAGGACTGTCAAGAAGAAAGAACATGAATGCAGTGTAAGATCCTACCTAAAAAAACGGTGACAGCAGAGATGGTGTTAGAGGTGAGGGCTCTAGGCCCATGGACTGAGTAAGGCTGTGTGCCTGAAGGTAGGAGACTGGCTTGCAGACTGTGCCCTTTGGACATTTAAATAAATACATATTTTTACTTTATTCATTGTGAAATATAAGATGTAAATGGGGAGCCCCAGGGAAGGAGTGGGATAACTGTTGTTGCCAGGTAGGGTTGTAATCATTGAGATGAAACACAGTATATAATTTGTTGAATGTAAAGCTGATGATCTTGTCTGCAGACCTTCCTTCAATTCACAATAAAAAGCTAAAAAAAAAAAGGTTTCCCTGGTGGGGAGCAGATTGATGATTGATGGGGACAGTCTCATCTTTCTCTTTTGGAGTGGCTGGTGGGTTTGAACTGCTTTTAGTAGCCCCAATGCCTAACTCATAGCATCAGTAGAAATCCTTTAGTAATGTTTATTACCAATTTTAATCATAAAATAATTTTGATAAATATTTTTGGTACTTGTTTGAAGATAATAGTTCTTAGATTATATGAAGACTAACAAACAACAAAATGATTCCATAACATCTTTCTACATTGAATAACAACATTATTAGTAACTGATTTTCCTACTTTTTCTTTAATTACGACTTTACTCACAAAAAAGTTGTTGATATAGGTTCACAAATATTTGATCACTGTAGTATTGTGGTTAAAATCTGACGAAATCATCAACTATCAAAACACCAGCAGCAATAGAAACAGTAGTGCATGCTTGTAGCATAAGCAGACAAAATTGCATGATTCGAAGCATCGTAATAAATAAATATTAACAGCAGCTTGATTAGAGAGCATTAGAAGTCTCAAAAAGTAAATTAGTGTCAAGTGTTAGCCTTGTCTGTATATTGATACATGTAAACTGGGCTACCAAAACATGCATTTGTTGTTAAAATTAACTACGGAGATACTCTGTAAAAAATAATTAATTTCTGTTGAATCACTGCACAAAAATTTTTATATTATAGACAGTCATTTTGGTGTCGCTTCGTTTGACAGTGTCAACCAACCCAATGTGGTCTGCACCCTGAAATCCCCTGGTGATACCACTGTTCCTTTAGTGTCAGAGTACAACTGTGTACCATAGAGTTTTCAATAGCTGATTTGAAGTAGCTTGAAGATTCCTGAATGTGGTTTCCATTAAAGGGTGGCCTAAACCTCATTCTCGAAGGAGGATGAGTTAGTAGCTTTAACAGATGCAGGCAGTGAGGGCAGGGGTCCTTGGAGGTCAAATTTATCACAGTAAGCTACAACTTGACTGCCTTCCTGGCTGAAGCAATACACAGACAGTTGCAGCAAGTGGCCATAAGGTTTTCCTGGATATTGCTGCTCAGAAGTCTTCAAAACAGACTTACTTCCCTTTCTTTGCATTTGAGACCTTGGGTGGCATAAATGGGCTGTACATTTCACTACTAACTGAAATGTTGGAGG